CATCCAGACTTATGACCAAGGCTTTAATAACAAAAGTACTAAAAACAACCATGCTTGACCTGCCATATGCTGATGACCAGGGATCCTAGTTTTCTGTGGGGAAAAAAGCAGAAAATCTCTGTTTTAAAAAACAAAAAATCCGTGTTTTGGAGGTAGTCAAGCACTTCCCCATCTCTCTCAGGGAGTGAATATTGTTAAGGAGATCTAGCACAGGATCCAGTGTGCAAGTGCTTCTTTTGGGAAGGTGCTTTTGTGTATCTTTACTCATCGTGATCTCCAAAATGACACCAAGATCCAGGTCTAAAATGCAGTAATTATCTCTACTCCTCTACACATGTGCAGCATGGGTGATCTGCTGTTGGTATCTCAGGAGCCTGGAGAGGTATTATCAATGATGCCTCCAGAAAGTCTTCCACGTTAAATAGGAAGATCACCACACAAATGCCAGCATGTTACCAGCATTGAGTTGACAATCCTCAAGCACCAACTTCGCTGGACCAGACATTGTGCATAGATGTCTGACTCTTGGTTTCCAAAACAAGTGCTCTACTTCCAGCTCAGTAATATCCTGAGATCTCATGGTGGCCAGAGAAAATGCTACAAGGGCACATTGAATGCATATATCAAGAATAAAGACATTAAGAGTTGGAAGGAGCTGGCTGCCAACTGACTCCAATGGTGCTGCAACTTCAACCAAGTGGTAGCCTATTCTGAGGTAAGTCATCTTGCCCTTGAAGCAGAGAAAAGAGAGCAGAGGAAGAAAAAGGAGAGAGATCCAGGCTACAGCCTACTCTGTAATTTGGAAAAACCTACAACTTCTGTGGATGGCTGTGGCTCAAGGACTGGGCTCTCAAGGCACCACAAGACCCATCAATGAGCCATAGTAAAGATCAGGGTACTGCCAAGGATGTATCCAGGCTGGCCTGTATTTTTATCTGGTTGACAGTGTCACAACCCAAAGGGTGTGATTTTTGTTTCTGTGTGCTTCGGCACTGCTAAATTGTCCCCGCTAAATTGCAGCTTCCTTGCACGGTGGAGTTTTCTGCTGCAAAAGAGAACCCCGGTGCAAGGGAGAATTTCCCGCCAATTTGAAGCTTTCTTTGCAGGGTGCATTTCTTTGTTGCAGCACAGAAATGCTCATTGCAAAGA